CATGAAATAACAGACCTTCAAATATAGAGCAAAATACCTGCGGTCAATTATTGTGTCATCCATGAAGTGTTGGAATTTTTTGCTATTGATACCTATCGAGCAGACTGTCAGTCTGCCTGTCATGGCTCATTGGCATTTTGAAATGACGGTGAATGATTACTAACGCCACGGTGGCGTAAAAAAATTTAAATTTCTCTCCAAACCTCGCTTACGCTCGCCCACTATGTTACTCTATGTGTTCTACATAGGTATATGTATTTACAAAGCACACGAGCGTCTATGTATGTATCTAGCCCAGTTCTAGTTTGCAGAGAAGAGAAGAATAGAAACGTTAAGGAAAATCCTTACACCTTTCTATTGCCACTATTGCAAAACGCAGTAGCAACAATAATAACCAATGAAAAACGGTTATGGAAAGGGAAATAGTTTTTCATTTTTTTTTTTTTTTTTTGTTAAAGTGGGTCAAAGAATAAGAAAAACGACCAGAAGTATGAAAAACACACACACATTTTGCTTATAACGCACATAATGTTATGTTGTTTGCGGAATAAAATCATATACAAATACCAACACATGGTACATTATGTATGTATGTATGTATGTGAGTAAATCAGCATAGTAATATGCTATCATGTTTTCCTTTTTTGTTTCACTTGTTGTTGTTGTTGTTTTTTTTTTACCATGTATAGCTGGGGTTAACATTTTGCCATACTGCCACACATAGAATAAGGTATTTGGGTTAACACTGTCTTTTGTGCAAAATGAAGGTAAGTTTTTCTAAGGGTTTTCATTGTGACCTATGAGATTTTTTCTGTTGTTGCTGTGTTTTTGTTTGCAAAATGATTTACTTAACCGGTTTGTTGTTGCTGTTCGCATTTAACATAATCGCTGTTAGCCCCATTATTTTCAAGGCGAAATGAAGGGGTGGTTAGATGGAGGTATGGATGGAGGATGGTCCGATAGGTGGGTGTGTATTTGCACTTGGTAGAAGTGGAAGTGTTGGTGAAAGCAAATAGCAAACTGTAAGTATGATATTTACTATGGAGACGATAAGGATGTTATTTTTTTCAGAGGATGTGTCAGATGAGGTACAGGCACATCATCTGCTGCATATTGCCACAAATTAATTCGACAACATTTTTGTACGAAAAAAGATGCTACTAAGATAAAATTGAAATATTTATGTGTGTAAAATTACAAAAAAGAAATGAAACGAATGCCAAAAAATATTAGACAGATTATAAGGACAATAGTGCGTATGATTGATGGCAGTACTCATACGACGCATAGTCATAAAAATCAAAAGAACTAGGTGTTTCACTGCATTATTTGAGACCAAGACCAAGGAGAAAAAATAAATTTTATAAGTAATTGAAATTCAACTGTTCCATTGGATCGATTTTTTTTTTTTTTTTTTTTTTTTTTGGCCGAACGTCAAATTTAATGGGAGTAGAACTATTATTACATTATAGAACCCACAGACACATAAGAAACATATATTTACGACTAGATGTTTTAACCTCCACTAGAAAAAATCCTTTTTCTTGAAAATCCATAAAAACATGTCAAAAAACTGTAAATTCGGTTCAAACTTTGAATACCATCCACCATATGGAACGAATTTTCGCAATTTTCAAAAAAAAAATCCACTACAAAAAAATCCCTTTTCTGGGAAATAATCAATTAAAACAAGTAAAAATCTGTAAGTTCGATTCGAACTTTTAAACAATTTGGCAATTTTCAAAAAAAAAAAAAAAAACACAATATCCGTTAAAAATTTTATTAAAATCTTAAAAATACCGAATATAACCGTTATAAGTCTATACGACGACGTGGACCTGCATAGGCTTATTTTGTCATAAGCCATTACAAAATTCAAATGGGAAACTTGAAAAAATCCCGCTAAAATCATTAAAATACCGAATATCGGGAGGTACCATTATATGGGAGCTATACCAAAACGTGGACCTGCACAGACAATTTTTTGTCTTAGGTTGTAGTATTTATTACGAACTTCAAATACCAAATTTCAAACAATTCCGGTGAATAATGTCGCTAAAATCACCAAAATACCGAAAATAGGGAGGTACCATTATATGGGGGCTATACCTAAACGTGGACCTACCTGGCCCATTTTCAATACCAAAAGTCCTGCAGACATAATATACATTTGAGTAAAATTTTATCAACCTACTTTATTTCGTTCGGAAGCTAGATTGATTTCCACAGACGGACAGATGAACAAACGGACGGGCATCGCTAAACCGACATAGAGTTTTATGCCGACAAACTGACTTTGTGGGGTTTGAAATGTATATTTCGAGTTGTTAAAAACGGAATGACAAACTTAATATACCCTCCATACTATGGCGGAGGGTATAAAAAGATTATCAACAGATAATTCTAATATTCAGCACAGGTGACGTATGATAAATGACATTGCTAATACGACAATTAAATATGCAAATAAACTAAGGCGAAAAGAGCTACCTTTCAATTTTAAGGACAGATTTTTATATACATAACCATAACAATGCATATACATTTTGGCCGATTTCGAAATAATGTATTTGGCTTCCCCTAAGAATATAGGGAATCATGATTAACAACATCTTCCAATTCCCTTTGCTTGCTGCAATAATAAATTGCTCGGTGTTTAAAAATAATTAATTAAAATATGCATAAATTATTAATATACACAGCATATGGGACGTATGACAAATGGCATTGCTAATAGGACAATTAAAAATGCAAATGTGATAGAACATTGATTCTACAAAATAATACCAATCGGAAGACTAATGACCAGACCAATTGGACCAGACTTAAAGCATGAGCGTCAAGATATATATATTTTTTTTTGTTCTTCTGAATTTTAAAATTTCACCAAAATATTATTCGCATTAAATTCTGCGAATATTGTTTTGGATTTTCAAACATGGAAATAATTTATAAAATTTCCAGGAAAAGAAAATGGTTCAACTATTTGCCCAGTGACGTATATGTTATGTTGTTAATCATACGCAAAATATAAGGTATGAGGTATGTTTTGTGTTCGCTCCAGTTTATATTAATCAAAATTTTGACCCTATGTGGAGGAGGTACCAGAAGGAATCGGATGTTATGTTTTATGAGCTTCATGGATATTCAAAATCTTGACCCCCTCTTCGTAGGGAAGGTACAAGAAGGAGTTAACCAATATATTCCATCTTCACACCAGACTGTGAAAAAACTGCAACCAACTTCAGACGGCTGTCAATTCTAAGCCACTCGTCCGAGAGCTGTTAAATTATTCCAATGACAGGTAATTATATTTTTTACTAGCGTACAAAAGCATTTTGGTGAGAATTTTCACCAGAAAATAAGTTATTCGTGATGGAATTCAAGCGTGATAGAATGATTTCTTTATATTTGGCTGGAACATCACAAGTAGCTATCGTTAGAGCACTCCAGCATTTAAATGTGAATTAAGCTTTTGTGTCTCGTACCATCGCTCTTTACCTTGATACTGGTAGCCTAGCCCGACGTCACGGAAGTGGACGAAAGAAAACAGTAACATCAGCAGAAAAGGTTCGAAAAGTAAGGAAGTAGACTTGATCGAAATCCGCGTCGAAGTGACCGAAAAATGGCTCGTGAGCTAAACATATTGCGATATTCCATTCGGCAAATATTAAAAAATGAGTTTGGGGTAAAGCCATTGAAATACCAAAGAGGACAAGAACTTACACCGCAACAGAGAGAAAACAGAACTCAAAAGAGTTAAAGAGTAGCTACGCTTGGCCGAAAGTGGTGAACTGCCGAATTTGGTCTTCTCCGATGTGAAAACATTCGTTGTCCAGCAGTTTGTAAACAAACAAAATGATTGTGTTTTTATTACGCAAAGAGGTCAGCTGAAATGTGCACCTTCGGTTGGCTAGCGGTATTCAAGTGCCGGCCATGGTGACGGTTTGGGCCGCCATAACAGCCGATGGCGGCAGTGGCATCAGAATAAATGCCGAATATTATCGCAAAAATATTCTGGAGGGTGTTAAAAGCCTTGGGCACGCAAACATTTTGGCCGCAGACCTTGGACATGCCAACAGGACTCAGCACCATCGCACATCAAGCAAGCGCTTCGCCGGGAATGAGCCAAAATACCGCAGAGCAACATTCGGGCAGCGTGTGACGATTTCCTTGGCCGTTTTAAGGCCATAATTCTTGCCAAAGGCGACCATTCGAACAAATCTAGACTTATTCTAAAATTTGATGCTATTTCCGACATTTTTTGCTTTCTTTTAATAAAATTAAAAGATAATGTAAAAATTATGGCGTTTGAGTTTGTTGCAGTTTTTTTACCTCACCCTGTAGACTAAGATTTATTACAATTAACTCCCCAATTACCATTACGCATTTATTTCCCATCCATCCCATTGAACCCATGGTGCGTATGTTCTTAATTACTCATACGTCACATGGCATGAAATGATTAGTGGCGTATGAAAATAAATAAAAATTTAAGAAATTTCTGATGGTAGAAAATTTTGGAAAACCTTGATAAGCGAACATTCCCACAAACATATAGAACTTAATAAAACGTTTGATGTTATGATATTTCACGGAAGATTTATGATTTTTTTTTTTTAAAATTTCGAGTTACACGCTTAATTTAACGTTGGTGATGTTAATTTTATTTATAATTTGTTTTAATGTTTTTTTTTTAATATTTGATGGCATTGTTTGATGTGGCATTTTATTGTTGAGATGTTGAATGATTTTATTTATTTATTTATTTATTATTATTTTTATTTTATATTTTTTTATGTAATGTTGATGTTGCTTAAAGTGGTTGAGATGGTGTTGGTGGTGGTGCTGGTTGATGACCGATGAGTAGAGAGAGAAAGAGAGAAAAAGCGTTGATGAGATAACAACATTTTCAAAGACAGACAATAAAACTGAGAAGAATTTCCTCTTCCTTTCTTGTCTCTTACTTTCTTATCAACATTTATTTGTTTAAAACTCACCAAAACACAAACAGGATTTATAGGGAGATGTTGAGCCGCCTTCATGTTGATGTTGTTGCTGATGATGCTGCTGCTGATGTTGATGCTGCTGATGGTGATATTGCTGATGCTGTTGAGACTGAGATTGTTGCTCTTGCTGCTGCTGAGGTGATATTGGATTTGCCAATGTGGTAACGGTGGACACCGACGTAGCCGTACTCGACGATGATCCGCTCATATTATTGCCCATGTTAGGGCCATTATTATTATTGTTGTTATTATTATTATTGTTATGATTCAAATGGTTGTTGGCATTGTTGTTATTCGTTGCGGAGTTATGGTTGCCCAACACCAAGGTTGTATTGTTGCTGGAGCCCATCATGGTTGCAACTGATGTTGCCGATGAAGTGCCGGATGTGGATGACGATGTTGGCCCAATCACAGCTGTTTGTGCTAAGTTTTGTTGCTGTTGTTGTTGTTGTTGCGAATCCATCTGTATATTTAAATTGGATAAATGCTGAGAGGTTTGATATAAATTATTTTCTAATGATTGTTGTTGTTGTAGTTGGTGGTGGTTGTTGTTGTTGTTGTGGTGGTGATTGAGATGATTACTCGTGTTGGAGAGGGAATGTTGCATTGAGGCCTGATGTTGTTGTGGATTGCTTTGTTGCCCATACAGCTCATACAGCCTTGGCATGTTTGCTGGGGAACTTGGTCCACCCTGATGCTGGTTTGTTGTTGCTTCTGTATACTGCTGCTGTAGTGGTTTATAAAAATGATTATACAAATGATTGGAATTTAAGGAACTTGGCGATGAGGAGGCCGATGAATTGTTTTCAGACTTTGAATTCCGATGTTGTTGGTTGTCAAACATCATCATTTGTTTGGTGGTGGGGAAGAATCCTTCCATAGTTTGTTGATGAAAATCCAGATTATTTGGCAGTTGTTGTTGTTGTTGTCGATAACCACTATTCGTCGTCGCCGTCGTCGTCGTTGTGGAGGAGTTGGGTGATGGTGTCTGTGAATTTTGATGTTCTGGGTGTTGATGATGATTGTGATGTGTTGTTGTTGTTGTTGTGCCATTGTTGGCATAAAAATCCATATGCTCCAAAAACTGTTGGGCCATGGTGGAGCCTCCAATTAAATCGAAGGCATTTGTCATGAGACTTTCGCTAAGGGCATTTATTTGTGACATTTTTTCTCGTTTTTTTTTTTTTTTTGTGGACGTTGTGTTTTGTGAATCAGGAAGAGCTTTCCAGCTATCTTTTGTTCAGTCTTGTCAAATAATTTGTAGGTTTTGGAGATTTTTTTTCTTCTCTTTTGTTTGTTTTTGTTGTTCTTTATGGGGGAAATGGAAATTGGAAAATTATCACATTTACAGTTGCTTGGATGGTTGTTGGTCGGTTGGTTGGTTGAATGGACGTTTTGTTATATCCTTGAATTATCTGTAGGCATCTCTTTTATTTCTCTCTCCTTCTACTGCTCTCTTGCTGTGCTCGATGTTTATAAACATTGTTTATCAACATTTGCCGGATCTTTTGGGGATGGGGGATTTTTTCATTTCAATTCATTTTTCAAATTCAATTTTATTGCAAATGGGCCAATTCATTTGTTTTTTGTTAGATAATTTGTTAAGGTTTTTGGTATTTCGGTTTTTTTTTGTGGCAAAGAAACCATAAAAAAAGAAAGATAAAAAAGAAATTTATTAATTTAGATTTCTAGTTAAGGTCTATGAGAGAGAGAAAAAAATACGATTTGTTAAGTTTTTGGATTGCTGATTTTTTTTTTCTTAGTTTTGTTTATAAACAATGTTGATGGGAGCTTGAAGTGGAAAAGTTGCTCGTTTTTTTTTGGAAGATGATGAAGAACAAGTGTTGTTATTTTTCCAAAAAAAGATTCTGGACGATTTCTTTGACTTGTTTTTCGTTAGAAAAAAATGGTTAATTTTTTGTTTTCGAGGTGGCTGAAGGTGGTGGTGGTGGTGTTGATTATTTTTTAGTAGTAGTAGTAGTAGTGGTGTAAGTAATAGTAGTAGTAATAATATTTGTGGTGGTGTAGTAGGCGACAACAACAACAACGACAAGATGATGTATATATTTCATATAAAAATAATATATATAAATTATGATTTTTTGGTTTATTATATATTTATATATAGCAACAGCAGCAGCAAATCATAGAGTTCCCCAGCAAAAGAAAATGTATTTTTGGTGCTTTCCACTGATGATGAGTTCCAAAAGTTCGGGGAGTTCAAATATGTTTGAGGGGGGAGAGGAAAGGAGTAGTGGTGATTGTGGAGTTGGTGGTTGATGTGGAATGGTTGGATGATCCAATGGGTTTTTTTTTTTTTTTTTTGGATTAGAGATGCCTTGTTGTAAGGAGTAAGGATATGGAACCAGCCATTGAGGGTTAGATGGTATGGTAAATGATTTTCCGTATGATATTTTTCTTGCGTTCTTAAATATGGCACACAACATCCAAGGTTAATATATTAAGTTTTTACAACATTAAACAACCATTTTATTTTTTTCTTTCTTTCAAATCCATTTATGATGACAACATGATGAAATGCATGGTAGTGGTGGTGGTGGGTAGAAGGAGGTAGGCGTTTTACAACAACAACAATGCAATATTATTTCTTTGTAATAATTTACCCTTTGATTTGTTATGGGCCAGTTGTTAAAGCTGCTACAAAATGATGCTGATGCTGATACTGGTTGTGGTGTTGGTGTTGGTGGCGGTGCTGATGATATTACGGCTGGTGCTCGAATTTGGCTGGCCACCTTGATGATGTTGTTGTTGTTGGAGTTGGGCAGATGCAAGAGAACAAAAACGTTGTTGCTAGCCTTAACGTTGTAATGTTGTTGTAATTTTTATTTATTTTTCTTCGCTTTTTTTTTCTTAATTTTTGCTGTGGATAATTTTATAGAGATCTTCTGGGGAGGGCGTAATGTTATTGAATTTTTTATATTTTGTATATTTTGATTTTTTCTATTTTTGATTTTTGTTTAGATGTCTGCACTTGTTTTTTTTTTTTTCTCGCTTGTTTTGGGATGTCAAAAAGCTTGGCAAATGACGTTTATGGGGTTTTGTAAACACTGCAGGCAGGTATTTTTTTTGTAGATGAAAATTTCGCTTGATTTGTGGCCTTTAAATATTTAATATCACAACATGTTTGTTTTTACAAGATGTTTGAGTTTTCTTTGATGTACCAATATTTGGTTAACTTTTTTATCACAATTTCTTTTTTTTTTAATATATATTTTTTTTCATTTAATACATTTGTGGGAATGTTGCTAGATTTCGGGAAAAATATATATATTATAATTAAATAAAACAAAAAAATAAATATATAGATACAAAAATATTGGTCCATAAGAATTGTATTGAAACCGAAACCGTTAAAAATATTTATTTTTTTATTTTATAAATTTTACAATTTTATTTTTTTTTTAAATTTTTATTTTTAATTTATTACTTTATTCAATATTATTTTTTCGACGCATTCACGGTTGATATCTAGCGCCACATATATCGACGTTGCTCTTCCGTTTAAGCTACAACAACAACTAAACACAAATTGTATCATCGAAACCCGGCTCAGAGCCAACCGCTTTGGTTGTCTAGCGTCGTTAATGCCAACATTTAAATATTATCAATTTAAATGTGAACTGATGATGATCAGATTGGTTTTAAACTTGACAACAATTTTAGCCAAGGGTGTGTGAGAGCGAGTGTGTGTGTGTGTGTGACCAGTCTCGTGTGTATTGTTAATATTATTTTAATTCGCTTTTTTGTGGCTATCATCTTTTATTGCTATTTTTTATTTTTTTATTTCATGAATTATTATTGTCCAAATGACAAAATAATAATAATACATCGCGCATCATTATTTTTATTGTTATACAATATTGAATCCACAAGGAATTCGATAATAACACTGGGCAACAAAAAAAAAAACAAATAATTAATGGAGATATACAACAGATTATGAAAAGACATGTATACCGGCTTTTTGAAAGTTTTCATCGCATCTAACTAGGTTTCAACTAAGAACCCCAAACTTTTTTGCGTTTTTGATGAGTTCTATTAGGTCCACATGAAATTTCCTCCAACCCTGACTGCCTATCGTACAGTGAAAGTTTAAGAGAACTTCCAACGATTTGGGGAAAAAAGTAGAAAATCTTTAAGAAATAACAAAAGTTTTTTAATTAAAAAAACTGATGATATTTTTTCATGGTAAATTTTGAATTAACAAATTTTTTTTTGTTCAGAGACTTTCAATGAAATTTGATGTAGAATAATTCTTCCTTTAAAACTTTCCCCAAAAAATGAAAAATTAGGGGAAATTTTGTCTCGTATTGGAAACTGCTTAAATTTACAGTAAAAAATACAAACACACCATTTTCACTTATAGTCCATACATTTCGAATGTAATTTTCTTGAAAACCATTGAACCTAGATATACTGTTTATTCTGAAAATTAAAGTAAAATTATGTGTAGAACACTTTTTACTTTGATGTTTTCCTCGAAAAATGAAGAATTAAGGGAGATTTTGGCTTAAAATAAAAAACTTGTTAAATTTGCATAAAAACGTAAATATGTAATTTTCGCATGTAATACATAAATTTCAAATGTAATTTCCGAAGAACCTGTTCAACCTAGAAAGATAGTCTATTTGGAAATTAATCATGAAATTTTGTGCAGAATATTTTTTCTTTTGACACCTTGCGTCTAAACTGAAACTGTATGTGACATTCAGGCGCCAACTCGAAAAAAGTCCGAGGAAAAATTGATCCAAAAAAATTGGGGAATATTTTCGCTGCTCTTTGGGAATAATTATGCCATTATTTTATTGATATACCATAAAAATAGAGATTTCTTTTCGTTGGTGACCTATAGTGAAATTTGATAAGGAATATTTTTGACTTTCATAAAACTCTTCTAAAATGATGCCTTTTTGGAGATTTTAGCACAAATTCAAACCAAGTACAGGTTTTAACCTCTAAATATCTCTTTAAGATCAAAAAACTGCAACCAATTTCAGACTGCTGCCATTTCTAAGCCACTCGTCCGATAGCTGTTAAAATTATTCCAGTGACAGCTCATTATATTGTTTACAAGCGTACAAAAGCATTTTGGTGAGAATTTTCAAGAAAAAAAGTTATTCGTGATGGAATTCAAACGTGATAGTGTGATTTCTTTATATTCAGCTGGAAAACCACAAGCGGCCATCGTTAAGGCACTCCAGCATTTAAATGTGAATAAATCTTTGTGTTTCGTACCAACGTTCGTGACCGTAATACTCGTAGCGTAGCCCGACCTCAAGGAAGTGGACGGAAGAAAACAGTAACATCAGCAGAAATGGTTCGAAAAGTAAAGAAACGACTAGATCAAAACCCGCGTCGCAGTGGCCGACAAAATAGCTCGTGCGCTGAATATATAGTAATATTCGGCAAATATTGAAAAATGAGCTCGGGATAAAGCCTTTGAAATTTCAAAAAGTGCAAGAACTTACACCGCATCGGAAAGAAACTACACTCAAAATAGCTAAAAATTTTCTGCGCTTGGCTAAAAGTGGTGAACTGCCGAATTTGTTTTTCTCCGATGAGAAAGCAGTTTATAAACAAACAAAATGGAAATTAGCACCTTCGGTTGGTCACCAGAACTCAAGCGCCGGCCATGGTGAACGCCATAACAGCCGACGGTCGCTCTTCGCTGGTATTAATCGAAAAATTTGAATTTTGTTGCACAGTGTTATAAAAATGACAACAAAAAAGTATCAGTACTACAGACAGAAAATTGAGAATGAATGACAAAAATCCAACATGACGTTTGTTTTGTAGCAGATTTTTAATTCAACATTTTATAAGAATCCGAAAAAATATCAATATGGCAACCCAGTTTCAAATAGACAGAATTTTTTGTTGAGAAAAAATGGAGTATAAAGAAGTTGAAAGAGCCTGATCTCCTATTGGACACATTTCCTTACCACCGTTCCAAAAATATTCTTAATCTTTGAAATGCATCCAAAAATGCATTTATTTTCCCATTTTAAAATTCCAACAAAATTTGAATCCCTCCAACCCCACTCCATCATTCAATAGAAACCTTCCGAAAAAAACAAGCCCCATATTTAATCGAATTTAAATTTGTAATTAAAAAAAACAAGAATATTTTATTGCTCTGCTCCAATGATTATAGAAATTATTTACCTTGACATTTTTTTTATTTTTTTTTAAGTGGATGGCTTATCAATTTATAATAAAAGCAATTATACAGCAGAATGAAATTTAAATTTTTTTTAGTCATTTATTTATATATTTTTGGTTTTTTTGGTTTGTTATCAGTTAATCATAGAACTAAAATGGAACAGAACTCACTATGCAATTAATGATGACATACATAAATTTCGAATAAAACACACACATTTTTTCCACCCCTCCAAACCTAGTTTTAAATGGTCATTTAAACATATTCAAAAATTCAACAATTTCCGGCTATAAATAATTATTTATTAATGCAATGGCAATCGCTTAAATTTTGGAAAGAGGGGAGACAAATAAAAAATCAAGTATGCGTTCAGGTTTGGCCATAACAAATAACCGAAATTTAACATAAACAGAAATTATTAAAAAAAAAAATAAATAAATAATAATAATAACGGTTATGAGCAATAAAATTAATTTTACTTGCCCACCATACAAAAAGTTAAATATCAACAATTATTCGGACACACACACTCACTAATTGAGGGTAATTAAAATATGTATTATTAAAATTAATTTTTGTAAGGGTTTTAAATTTTTTGGTTTCTTTTTTTCACTACAAGACGAATTAAGTTCAATGTCAATGGTGGTAAATATTATTAACATTTTTTTTAAAAATTTTAACAGTAAAAGAAAATAGAAATATAGGAAAATGAAGACCAGAAAGTTTTCTTACAAAAAAGCATAAGGTGTTCTCCTTATAAAAAATGTGTTCCAATAGAAGAGCGTAAAGTCTTCTCATAGTAGAACGGAAGGTCGTCTCATAAAAGAACCGAATGCCTTCTCATAAAAGGGCGGAAGGTTTTCCCATAGAGAACCAGAAGGTCTTCTCATAGAAGGCCAGTAGTTCTTCTCATAGAAGACCAGAAGTCTTCTCATTAAAGGTCAGAAGGACTTCTCATAGAAGACAAGAAGGCCTTCTCATAAAAGAGCAGAAGGTCTTCTCATAGAAGATTCGAATGCCTTCTCATAGAAAACTAGACGGTTTTCTCATAGAAGGCGAGAAGGTCTTCTCATAGAAGACCAGAAGGTCTTCTCATAGAAGACCAGAAGGTCTTCTCATAGAAGACCAGAAGATCTTCTCATAGAAGACCAGAAGTCTTCTCATAGAAGGCCAGTAGTTCTTCTAATAGAAGGCCAGTAGTTTTTCTCATAGAAGACCAGAAGTCTTCTCATAGAAGGCCAGAAGTTCTTCTTATTAAAGGTCAGAAGGTCTTCTCATAGAGGACCAGAAGGTCTTCTCATAGAGGACCAGAAGGTCTTCTCATAGAGGACCAGAAGGTCTTCTCATAGAAGACCAGAAGGTCTTCTCATAGAAGACGAGAAGAAGGTCTTCTCATAGAAGACGCGAAGAAGGTCTTCTGATAGAAGACGAGAAGAAGGTCTTCTAATAGAAGACGAGAAGAAGGTCTTCTAATAGAAGACCAGAAGGCCTTCTAATAGAAGATCAGGAGATTCTCTAATAGAAGACCAGAAGGTCTTCTCATAGAAGACGAGGAGAAGATCTTCTCATAGAAGGCCAGAAGAAGGTCTTCTCATAGAAGACCAGAAGATCTTCTCACAGAAGACCAGAAGGTCTTCTCATAGAATACCAAAAGGAGGTCTTCTCATAGAAGACCAAAAGCAGGTCTTCTCAAAGAAGACCAAAAGAAGGTCTTCTCAAAGAAGACCAAAAGAAGGTCTTCTCAATGAAGACCAAAAGAAGGTCTTCTCAAAGAAGACCAAAAGAAGGTCTTCTCATAGAAGACCAAAAGAAGGTCTTCTCATAGAAGACCAAAAGAAGGTCTTCTCATAGAAGACCAAAAGAAGGTCTTCTCATAGAAGACCAAAAGAAGGTCTTCTCAAAGAAGACCAAAAGAAGGTCTTCTCAAAGAAGACCAAAAGAAGGTCTTCTCATAGAAGACCAAAAGAAGGTCTTCTCATAGAAGACCCAAAGAAGGTCTTCTCATAGAAGACCAAAAGAAGGTCTTCTCATAGAAGACCAAAAGAAGGTCTTCTCATAGAAGACCAAAAGAAGGTCTTCTCA